ATTGGTTCTCAGAGAGAGTGGAAGGGAGGGGGAGAGAGAGAGAGAAACATCAATGTGAGACACACCAGCTGGTTGCCTCCAGCACACACCCTGACTGGGGGTAGGGAGTGAACCTGAAACCCAGGTACGTGCCCTTGACTGTGAATTGAACTGGAGACCCTTTGGTGTGGAGGACAATGCTCTAACCACTGATCCACATGGGCAAAAACCATTTTTAAAAGTTAGCTGTAGAGGTCAAGAAACATAGCTTAAAATACCACCTATATAACAAAAATGAAATTTTCTTTAATAAAGATTTTCACATGTGTAGGTATAGCCAATGGAAAACCATTAAAATGTTATGAAAAAAGATCATTCAATACATTTTTATCTCTCAGGAAAAAAAAAGTATACCTTCTGACCCAGTAATTCCGTGGTATAAGGAAATTATCACAAATATGTGAATAGATTTAGCTGTAAAGATATATATCGCAGTGTTGCCTAAAGCATCATGAAATTAGAAACAATAGCTATCACTTACTGAATACTTGGTATTTGTAATAAAGCAGAGAGCTATATGAAAATCATCTCATTTCTTCGTGACAACAGTCCTTTGGAGAAGGGTCAGTATGATTATACTCCTTCTTACAGATAAAGAAAGGACCCAAATCAAACTACAGATCAGAGCCGGGGTCTGCATCCAGGCCTGTCTCTCTCTGTGACTGGCCGGTGCTCCTTGCTGTGGCTCGCTCCCTAACAGCCTAAACAGCAGATTGCACGCTTGTAGTCCAAGCAGTCCGGTAAATTAACAGGTCTCAGCCCAGAGTGAGATCCACAATGGACTGTAAGGTGGAAAAGGCAGGTTCAAAACCATTTTCAGCACTGAGGGTGCAAAGACAAATGACTCAGTGACATGTCTCAAAAACACTTTCTGTAACACCCTGTTCAGAATCTTTTACTGTCTTCTCGTTGCCTGAGGGATACTTGCCCTGTATCCCGGGGTTTACCACCCTCTAAATTGCATCGTTTGCTTAGGCCAGATAGAATGTCCTCTCAACTCTATCCCTCAACACCCCTCAATGTAAATGACTCTCTTCACTTAGGAGGATTTATCCACCCACCCACCCATCCATTCACCCACCCATCCACCCATCCACCATCCATCCATCCATCCACCCATCCATTCACCCACCCATCCACCCACCCATCCACCCATCCACCATCCATCCATCCATCCATCCATCCATCCA